CTGTCGAACATAACCTTCTCAATAAATAACGAAAGAAAAGGAGATGAAAATATTTGTATCTTGTGGGGAGACAGGAATGCTGATTTGCATAAAATAGTAACCTGATTAATTTCTGACGATCAGGTAACCAATTAAACACGGTCATATCGGAAAATCCGGCAAATGTGAATTCATACACGTGCTTCCCCCCGACGGAAGTAAAGAAAAACCTGTTTCGATTGGTCCCCGTGGGATGTTTAGTGGGCCGATGATTCTGTCAGGTTTGTATCGCTATTATCGACATTCGAGGAGCAACGAAGCTGCAAATTAACGCGTCGAAGGAACTTTAGATGTGTAACGAAGGACACGTAAATGTGTTTGCGATTATAAAAGTGGTTTAAAACAATATATCATATTTTTTTGCCTCGAGCATTTTGACTTTTATCTTTTCCGTAGTAAAAACTTTAATCCTTAATCTCATTAGAAAGTACAATATTTTATTATTCAAAAAAACAAAAGAAAAAATTTCAGGTTTATTTAGTAATTTTTACCAATTGTTAATCAGTTTCTTTTAGTAATTCTGTTAACTAGGGTATAATTCTAAAACTGCAACTTGTTTAAATAAATGTTAATGCAAGCTTTTATTAATACGTGTATGAGAACAATAAAGCGTGACTAAAAATTTCTATTCTTTCATCTGAAGCTACATATAGAACCTATTTTCAATGAATCAAACAAATTATTCAAACGTTCAGAAGGCTTAGAATTCAGGTCAAACATTGTGCCTGCTAGTTTAACTTTTTACTGTCAACATATGTACACACTTATAACACATTTTTGAAATTGAGAATAAAAAATTGTTGTAAATAAGTCTTCTAGAATAACCATATAATTTTTTAGCCTATTTAAACAGTCCCTTGGGTGATTTTCATTTGTAACCATATCAAACAAGAGCAATAACTTCATATTATCTGCAAATTATAAATAACTATTATATTTAATTATTACGTTTTAATCATTGAATTTTACATCAACCTGAAATTAACAAAGGACTATTACATTACTTCCCTAACCTTTTATATTTCATTTATTAGACATAACACATATCTATTAATAACCTAAGGTAACACATTTACATTTACAAACAGATATATTTCAGTCTAACCAATCACGTGTAAATTAAAAAAATGAAAAAAACACTTTTATACTTATGCATATGGTCAGAAATGATCACACATGTAAACAAAAGAAGCACTCCCAAAAATAATAAGAACATCGGAGGAATTAGGGTCACCAGGTTTCGTGCCACTTAACCTCAACGAGTTTAGTGCCGCTTGCAGATGTTTGGTCCATGAGTGCTCAGCATGGCTATCAGTACGCCGCTGATCAGTACACCCTCTTTATCATGCTACTCACTGACAAAAGGTCGAGGCGGGAAAAAAATTCAAGGAATCTGACAACAGAAGGAGAAAGCGCGGCCGGTGGACTTTCGTCCACGCGTGTATACACGCTCATAGAGTCCAGTTTGTGCTTTTTTCTTCGCGCTTCAACTTCGGTTTTTTTGCACTGCCCGTGTTGGCTGTATATGTATGTATCTCGGTCAAGGAAATATTCGTTGACGGAAGTTTCGTAGTCCTGTCGCGGTCAGATCGCTTTTTTGGATCTCTTAGATTATCTATCCTAGAGAACAATCTAGCGTTGTGTTACAGAGCTGAATGTGTTGGAATTTGTTTTAAGGTTAGGTTGAATTGTAATGTATAATTGTATTAATAGTTGATATTCTTTTAAAATATAATTCTTAGTTTTCAAATTATCCATTAACGAAATTGAAAGTCGATTGAAAAAAACCAAATATATAAAAGTTGAGTTTCATTTAAACAATTTTAAAAGTTACACACGTTAGAATTTAGGTTATCGCGACTATTCATGTTCTGTTGCTTCGATTATTTAATTATAAGTTAATCGAGATGAGGAAAAAATTACAAAAAAGAAGGGTTTGCGTGGACAGAATGAGATCAATGGAACCCAAGTTCGCCTGGAGCTAACTTTCAATCCGGATTTACTTCCTTTCTCGTACGCGTTATTCACGAAACAGTAAAACAGGTACCATTGTTGTTGACAATGTAACCACCACGATTATTACCACGGTGTATTGACGATTATCGAAGTTCGCGCAGAAATTAGCTGATTGTACGTGTACCAATGGTAACAGCACTACTCACTAATATCTTTTAACCTCAAAAAATCAAATTCTTTTTCAAATAATGATATAAAATGTAATGTGATCTTTTGATTTGATTTTTTATTAAATGTTTTATACGTAATGTAACATATTTAGAAAGACAAATTTTATTTGATTTTTTAGCCAGGTACTTGGAAAGCACCATATCCTACTATTGTACTCCTTCTATAACACAGTGATGACAATGACTCTAAAATTGTAGTTAAACATTAGAAATGATATTTGTGTTGGTAGAATTATTGCCGTAGAATTACTATACTCAGCCTATAATTTTTTAATTGCATATTTAATAAAATACCAAATACAAAATTAATAATGTAACAATATGCAAATTGTTTTTGCAAAAATAGCATAAACATCATTTATCGTTTGCGTTTTATCCTCAATATTAAAGAAAACAGGTACACGTACAAAAGAAGCTATGAACTAACCCAGAAGACGATTTTTTGTTTGTTCACAAAACGGTTTACGAGCGTGGAAAGTCTTGTTTGAGGTTATGCTTTGATGATATGATCTAGAAAGATGGAGGGACCTCAAATACCACGTGTTATACGATCCTGTATAAGAAACTACAAGAAACGGTGGCTTATATCGTCCATTTTTCAACCGTTTGGTTGACAAATTAAATCATTTATTTTAGGATGTACCAACCTGTTCTTGCTTGTCCTGCATCTTTGACGTCCACGAGGTGCAACAAACTATTATTGCAAACATAAATCGGCTGTGGTAACCTATTTCATTCCTCCTATCTTAAATATTTCACTTATTAAGGTTAGGTAAGGTTAGGTTTTGTAGTGACAAAAAAGATTTTAGAAATAAACTTTCATTATGAATGTTGCTTAAATTTGCCTAAAAATGATATATTTTGGATTTTGAACGTTAAGCATAAATTTTGCAATTTCGAAATAGCGGTTGGTAGAAATTATTAATTATCATACTTGCCCTCTTTTATTATTTACAATAGTACAAGTACTTACAAACTTGTTAATATAATTAAAACAAATCGAAATTTCGTAACAAGTGGTCGTATAAAAAAACAAATGTTCTTCTTTTCGATCATTTTCCCGATTCTATGTTTGACACTGCGTGTTCGTAAAACTATAAAATAATGGTGTACCGTAAAGAAAGTTGTAATTAACAAGCCAATGTTGGACTTCATTCCAACGTAGCTTTTGCAATTTTTTGCCTCGTTTTAAAACTACTGCTGATAATTTCAAAGTGCTTATCCGAAGAAACTTATCTATATTGAGTATAATTATTGCATATTTTTACTTTAAAGTGGCAGCTCAAATCGACGTGTTGAAAGGTACAAATTTGAAATGTGTCTTACTTTTGTCGACAACAATCAGTGTTTAATGAATTTTCGTAATTGAGAAGTGATAAAGTGTATTAACGCCACATTTTGTGCAATTTAGCAAGTTGGTACCACAACATTATTCAAATTGCTCGCGTTTGCATCTTTTTATGCCTCATAAACTTTGCGATTCAAGCGGCGGATACATGTCGTAAAAATATTAAATCCGCAATTTTGTTTGAGCGATTTCAAAACACCATCGCACGTGCTACATTTCACATCGTATAAATTCAATTGTAACTTTCATTCAGCCATTTACGATTTGGACTTAAAATTTCCTCGCTTTACAAATCCAGCAAATTCCTTTATTTCTTAAACATCTACGGGTATTTTATTTTTTTCTTTTTTTTTTTTCAAATCTTACTTCCACGAAATTGAAGAAACAAGAAAAAAAAAAGTATACACTTAGTCCTCGTATAAATATAAATATAACGGGTATTTCCCCGTTAAAATATTCGGAAGCTTCTCATTAGAAGCGACGGTTGATCATTATTTTTGATTAAAAATATGCGTCTAGTCAGCACAATGTGGAATACCTGTTGGCACACTTCGAATTCGATGTCGCAGACCGCGGAAACGAATGTTGCGGAATGTTGGCCGAGTATAGTTCTGACGAAGTAATATTTGACAGTGTTCGTTAAACATTTGCCGAGTGTTACGAAGTTTCCGAGAATCGATTATGCCGCTAAGCGTAAATATTTCATTGTTTGAATATCGTCACCTATCTTTCTTACCGAAATTATACGTTTCGTGTGTAATTTACTAGACTTGGTCGATCTGTCAATGAACAATGTCTAATGGCTGACGATTCAGTGTTACCAACTGATGAATAAATAGGTCCGGCGATTGGCAGTCAGTGATAAACGTTCGAATCACATAGCAGAAAAACTGTTAATGCGTGAATAAGAATGTATTCATGTGTATATAATAAAAAATGATTTTCTTTTCTCTGATCATACGATGATCACATCTGTACTGGTTGATTTTCTTAAAACACTCCCTTTCACAACTTACCTACGTCTCGTGAAAAAGTGCACACTTTTTCTAAATACACGCTCTCACGTGCATTCTTCGCGAACATACTTTCGTGAAGCAAAACAGAAGTATAAACTTGGGATTAGGTATGTTTATTACATTGAATTTTTGATGAAACATTAGTTTTACTTTTTTCAATTACGTATGCACGCGTGTTTTAATTTCGAATGTTTACTTTGTGTTATGCATTGTACGACGTGTTTCTATGCGACCTTAACCTTAAAGATTTCTAAGAAACTTTAACATAATCGAATTTGATGAAACAAAAAAAAAATTCAATAAATTCCTCTATATACAATATTTATATGTATAAATGTTTATATCTACCGCAAGCTATGTACATTGAATAAATTCTCACATCCAATGAAATGAAGTTCGCCATAAACTAACCTTTGAACATTCACAAACAATTGAACACCATCTTGTTTCTCCCCCAACTTTCTCCGAATTCTTCATCATCCGTGGTAATTTTCCGCTATGTGAAACTAATATTGAAGCTTCCCAGTGTATCATTACCCATCTTCGAATAACTCGAATTTCTTCTATCTGGAATTTGATCTAAATAGTCGAATGAGTGAAACTGTTTTCAAGAGGCCGAATGCCCGACGAAACAGTCGGCCGAAACGAAGGGAAAAGTTGTCAGATAGAGAGTGGTTGCACTTCCATTCTCTAGACATCGGGACAAGTTCGTGTATCTATCGTAATCATCGGTATTCCCTGGATCGTTAGTCGTAAAACCGTTGTTGTTATCTCTTAATGTCGAATCGAGAAAATAGTCGATATTGATAAATCCAAGTACCAACGCATTCTGGTGTTAATAGCAAGTGATTGTTAACTACGGTTGATTTTATAGTTTGTCGACTAATTTACATTTAATTAGGGGAAAAAAAGGAAGGAAAGGAAACATGAAAGGTAAGAATGTGGTGTATATAAGTGTAGAAATTGACATAGAAAGAATAAAAAGATAATCGAGTTGACTTTGATTTTTCAATTATTGATTCTTGGTGTGTTTATTAGGTATAAAGTTTCTAAGGAGTAAATAGTGTTATGTAGTTAGGTTACCAGGTTCTTGTTGATTATAATGATCAGTTGATATGGTGTTCAATTGATAAATTGTTTTGAGTGGTTATTTTTGAGTATGTTGAGTATTATACTTGTTATTGTACGTTACTGTCTAATTTGAATTAGTAGTATGTGCTAATTTCTATGTGGATTTTATTGAATATTATTAAGAGATACAGCTTTTTGATACATCCCATATCTTCATAGAAATTGTTACAAGCATATGTATATACACAACTTGCATTAAATATTCATTTTAGGCTTTTTATTCTAACTGGATTCCAATGAACAGTTAACAGTGATTTTTTAACTGGGACACTTTAAACACAAGGTGTTAAATGTTTCACATAAATTTGCTTCTCAGGAAGAATTCAGTATTGTAGACCACATTAGATGTTGCAGTAGAAGAAAAAGGAATATAGCTTAGCTGCTATAATCAATGTGAGTGTAAAAATATTTCATTAAGATGACACGCATGTGATAAATACTAAAATAGTGAATGAAATATATTTGATTTAATTGAAAGTTAATTTTGATGTAAAAGTATACATGAAAAAGGAAAAAATGAAAGGAAAATATTAACAGATAACATTACAAAATAATAAAAATCTTTATATTGTTTCCACAATGTTCAGGCAGTAGGAACTTGTGAGAGCATTATGTATGCTTTAAGAGTGATTTCTCTACTAACATCTTTTGATTCCCTTGCCCTGGTTAGATACTCGATAGTATCAAATATCGCATTCAACCATCTACAGAAAACGATACAACATTCATAACGTGCGTTTAGATACCATTGTAGAATGTAATAAGAAAACCAGAGAGAATGCACCCGATTGGCAAGCAACGAACGATGCTCCTCAATTTTCTGTCATTTTACACTTTTTGAAAATGTTTAAATTATTGGAATCGTTCGCTGAGACTATTTTGAGGTTATCAATACACATAATTAAACTATCTTGTACCGTTTTTTAAATATCATTTCGCAATATGAATTAATATTTAATAAAAAAAAATCCAACCATTATTATCGAAACATTTGAGAAGATAACAAGAAAAATTCGAAGCGCGCGAAATTCAAATTTCGTCAAACATCGTGAAATAGTTTTACGCTATCTAAATGAGAGACTAACCGTGAGTCGCGTTTCTAACTTAGCCAATGCCAACGCCAATGTCAACGCGAGGCATGTGTCGGTGTAAGCAATATGCTTGGCATTTTCCTTCAATTAAACGCACGGTCGAATCGGAGGCTGGCTCGCACTTTCTTCTGTACCGGCCGTCTGAGCTCGACGCGATCAGCCTGCTTTCGAGGTCAATGTCTAGGCACGAGAGAACGACGAGTATACGGGAACCGACGACGGCGGGAACTTTCCTTCGTAGTCGTTTAATTATGTCAAACGCTTGGCGATTATACTTGTTCCTTGAAACGAACATGAAGATATGGTAAGTGATAATAACCGTGTTAATCAATGTTTTTGACTAATGAGTGGGAAAAGAGAAATTTTAGTAGAATGTCCTTGGTCATATATAT